GGAAATTTTGATTCTTGTTTAAAATATTTAGAGATTTAACAAATTCTTATATAAGATTTAAACAAAAAAAATCAAAGAAAAAAGCAAACCTCTTTAATTTTAATTACTAGATCAACCCTCATTTAAGTTACGACTTAGCAGGACTCTTATAGCACTTGCATCATGGTGTGGAGAACCAAAACAAGGAGATTCACGGTTCAATTACCATGCATACTGGTAGATCTACTTCGTTCATTTCGTATGTGAAACGAATGGTGAGATTATTTTTTATTACTTCCATTTTTTTAAATTGTTGTTTTATATAAAAATGTTTAACTAACAATAATTTTCGTTAGGAAGCTACAATGGACACGAATCAAGATCTATAAAGCTTTTTATAGAAATTCACAATTAAAATGACGAGTGTCGGAAAGAGGTGCAATAATTCATTAATAGCCAAGCTTAGAACTTCATGATAAGTTGGATTTCAACAATTTTTTTTCTTAAGTTTTTATTTTTTGTTGAATTAGTTGATTTTTTTTAGAAAACATATACCACTCGATTGCAAGAGAAATATGAGGATGATCTTTCAACCTATTCGAAACTAGATCCAGATTTGTGGCTGGAGGTTGGATTGTCCGATGGACTCAATAGAAAATAGATTTATAGTATCTCATATACTATGACTGAGAATTTACGGAGGGCCCATAGTGTTTTGATTGTTGAATGTTTGTAATCGGTTTCCAACACATAATATCTAAAGTTCTAGATGATTGTACAACTAGTAGAAGCTTAGATGACTATATTTGCTGCTGAGACACAATAACTTAGTGTTTAGACAACTGAACTTAGACAATTGTACATGAAGCTAAAATTAAACATAGGTGGTACATGTGGTCAACCTATCGCCCCCCGGGTCTCAGTGAAGACTCGTCTTCTCCCCCCTTTTCAGTCTCACTCTTCTAGATGAATTGTATTTAAACTAATGAATTTTTAAATATGTAATAAATATTTGATTATTTTATTTTATTTTAATTTATCTTAATATTTTTCTACTATTTATTAGAATTTCTTTCTTTTAAAAAATTTAAACCAATTATTGATGGACTTACCGACGGACTAAGTTCATCTGAAACTTCTAAAGATTTGACAAAGAATTACATAAAATGCCACTTATTATTTCAAACAAAATCACCGATAGACTAAATTTCTTATTGAGTTCCAGGTAATTGGATAAAAATTATAAGAAATATCACTAAAATTATTTAATTACCAACATGTTAATTTTCTTGGTAATATGAAAATAAATCACTGATAAAATAACTATTCATGATCCTGCTGATAAAACTATTTTAGATGGGATTAGTGTTTAAATACTGACTGAATAATCCGTGGATAATATGCAAAATTCTCTTAGTTTCTCATGACAACGAGCACAAAATGTTGAGAAGAGGACGTACCAATATGCCATTTACAAAGCGTATCAAAATGCTCTGTTGGAGGCCAAATGCTGCAAGATCCAATTCGCTAACGTGCCCCATGAATAATTGTGTCACAACTATCATTCCAAATGAAGTCAATCGTGCCACGGTTCCAGGAAAGGCAATCCCCCATAACTTGATGAACTCGCTCAAAACCCTCTTTTTCAGGTCATTACTATTGAGTTCTTCAGGCAAAACAAGCCTCTCTTCCATTGAATTATCCATGATTCTGTAAGAAAGAGTGCTAACATTAATGATTTTTCAAGCTTTTTAGTGAATAGAAACTTTACACTTGACACATTTTCACGTGAATATTCATATGAAGTCAGTTGCCCCAAAAATTAATGCCATACTGATGGTATGAACCAGTCTAATCTTTCATAAAATTGAATGTTAGATGATCTATTTTTAAGCTTCTTGGTTCTAGGACGATGAGGATATTTGAACCATGACTATATGTACTTCAGAAATTAGCATGAAAGTCTTTGTGAGAAAACATGGTGCGAGAGAAATGAAAGTTTCACCAATTTTTGTTGTGATAAAAAAGCATGAGAATAAATTGTTGACGGAGATTTAGAAGTTGTTTGAGAATATGATAGTAATTATTTTTTAAAATATTTTTTATTTAAAAAAACATTAAAAAACATGAGAAAATATTTTTATGATTCTTGTGATTTTTTATGATATAAAATTAAAAAAAAGGTTAAAATATCATGGAAGCTCCAAACTAGTCTGCTTGCTCAGTCTAAACAAACTGCTTGACAATTGATGATGGACAAATAGTTCGTTTAGGCCTAGCCTAACTAGTACCATGGCCCAACAATTGGCACACATTACAATCCAATAAGTCAGAATATCACCAGTCACCATCCATTGGTGTTACATGTCGCACGCTTAATTCTTCATTACGACGCCCAACCTCCTATGCTTATTTTTCTCATCAATGACTATCTCCTACACTTTCACTTCTCCTTTTTCTTGCATATTATTTCTCCATACAGTTTACTAACTAAAACATCAAATGATTCTTTATTCAAATAGTATTTGAAGACTGTTTTGCAAGGAATACCAACCTGAAAGATAAAGCCCACATTTATACCCAAACATTTTAATTCAATATATGGTGCTGAAAAGTCTAAATTCAATTTAAAGTTTTTATGATTTTATCAATTTCCATTAAAACAAATAAGGTTTTCAAATGACAATATAAAATAACATCTTATTAGATTAGAACTCAACTAGCAAAATCAAATGTCAAGGTACTTAATCAAGAATTAGGTGATAGGTTTAGGTTGGGTGCAATTTTTCCTTTTCCCTATTGTATATAGATATAGAAATATATGTATGTTTGTACCATATCACGAGTCTCATAGAAAGAGACACATAAATGAGTGGAGGAAGAAATAAGTGTTTTTCTAATTTGTCATTATTCATATTTCTCTCTCCATGTAATAGATAGCTCTAATTTAAATTCTAAACTATATATATATATATATATATATATATATATATATATATAAATATTAGCGCAATAAATTAAAAAAATAATAGAAAAACAT